ATATTCTACTTATTCCGCTGTATTCGGCGTCAACCGAACTCAATATAATTTAACACAGAGGTCTTAACTGACAGTGTAAAGTAACAAGTCAAAAGTGAGTATGTAATGTCAGGCATGTCGGAATAGTTCAGTGTGAGTCACCAGTGACTGACAAATCGATCGATGCGCATTAATGAAAATTCTTACTAAAATATTTAAAAATTATTCCAAACAGTATTTCTTCATCAGTCCGGATATACTTGTATATTCTGTCGTGCGGCGACAGACAAGCCAGTTAACCTGCAAGGTCAAGTTTTAAAGCCGCGAAAAGGGCGCAAAGGCATTACGGGTGCGAAGGGTGACGGCTGCGAATAGACACAGATAGGGTCAGTGTTAGTTGTTAGGGCAGAGGAAATGTAGGGAGTTTCAGGTCGGAAGTGACTTAATGCGGTAGCTTAATTGGAAAATGTCGGAGAGGCGTGAATAGCTGGAGACCTTGCAGATTTAATCAAATCCCTTAAGGAACCTTTACACACAAAAGCGCACTGGAAACATGTCGGCAACAACTTTAATAATGCAGGTGCGGGCCGGAAATGGGCATGATAATCACAGAGCGTCGGACTGAATTAAATTAAATTGACTGCATTCACTACAACAAATCTCTGCACTGAATAATGCCAAGTTATATAAGAAGCTTACGAATGTTATCTTTGTGAATCGTTGTGGGACGTACGAGGGTTGATCCCTATGCTTCCCCAATTAGTGATCTTTGTCGGCTTTGTTAACCAAATACTAGGTTTATATGACAAATTATTTTGACGTCTACTGCTTTTTTGTTCTTTTGTGACAAAGGTTCTAATAGAAATGGAAAGCGTTTCGCAAAGAGCCGTAATAAAGGGTATGGCGCCCACTAAAATTCGTCAAAATATTGTTGCGACTGTTGCACAGACGTTTATGGTATAGGCAAAACTCTGGAGTCGCGTATGGCTCTTGTTTAAACCAACACGGCATCAAGCTAGGTATACCGGTATCGACTAACTGAAATATTAAAAGGTACATAATACGGTGTCACAGTAACCCATATAAGGAAGGGGACGTGAGGCATAGGCGGTCCATCGGAACGGTGCAAGATAGTGATCACGTACTGGACGAGCTTCAAATGTTTAGGTAACTTAATACATGATGAACAAAAATATTGTGACAGTTGTGACCTGTAGAGATTACTTATTCAATCAAAAATTGGTAAAGCAAGAGGCAATTCGCATGTTTCAAGTTTTTGGATTCGGTACCGACCTTAGCTTTTAATATTTTAACGATGGAATGTATTTTTAGTGCTCCAAACGTGAGATGCTGGGTTTAAAATATTCATTACAACTGGCAAACACTGTGTCATCTTGCCTTTTTTTTAATTAATTCTGTATCATATGGATCTCGTAATACGTGCATAAATGATATAATATATGGAAAGAAACAGGAAACTCTTCAGTAATATTTTAAAAAGTGAAACAATACTTCTCAGAAGAGTATCAGTAGCAATAGCATTAAGGGACTGTTTGTTAGCAGTCGGGCAAAGTTTTCGGGGATGTCTTTTGAAATGCTGAAGCACCGTTTAAGCGAAGATAAAATTATTGTTAGAAGGGATTGAGTAGAAAAATAAACCATATACTCGTATATTAAATGTAACATTACTGCAAAGAGGTCAGGGGATCATGGATAACACTCTCGTATTTCGGATCTTTCTATCTACCATTGCGTTTGTTGCTTGAACTTATAGCTAGGCGCAATATGCTAATGCGGATCGACAGACAATAGGCGATAAGCTGTGACGTATTAAAGTGGTTTGATATAGCCTATTCTCTTGGGCAGTCGGGAGCCGCACTGCTGTGTGCTGATGTGACGATCAGCAGAGCAGTCTTTTACGTACTTCTTGGGCAGCCCTGAGAATAGACAGATTATACTGGGATCGAGAAGTGCGAGATGAACAAAATCTGTGACGCAAATGTCGATTATGGGATGAATAGGAGCGCGAAAGAATTGACTTACACCTACGACCGTTGACATCGGATCTCCTATTTCCTTTGACTAACTAGCCTTAAACTAACCTTCTTCTAGAAAATTTGTATAGGCGGATTTTACAAGGGGATAATAGTCTCTTCACTATTCAAAAAGCTATGAAGTGGTATTCGGATGAATTGTAGAGGTTGAAAAGAACTCATGTCCCCAATTTGCTGTAACGACTACTCGCTAGAAAACTCGGAAAGAATTTAGTGACAATTATAATTTCTCTGAGAAAGCTGAACATTCGTGATGAATTTTTTTCTGGATAGCAATCATCATACATGAATTAAGTATCGGCTATTATTTGATATTTTATGTTGTACACCCTTTGGTAAAACAGAACATTCCGATTTCTTGGAATTAACAACAAACTGCTGCATCAAATTGAAGGTATAAGGCCTCATTTTGAAGGTATTGTCATGCTTAAAAACGTTTCTTCAGTTTCACCAATGCTTGCTTATTTTATCGATATTATGAGAAAGACTGTAACGGTTGAAAAATATGGTACTTAGCAAAATTATTTGTATCTCCAGATGAAGACATTTTTCCATTTACCATCTTTCTGTTGTAAAATCCTCTACACATTTTTTCATAAATTGTAGATGATTGTCAGATATGCCATAAACCGAGGCATATTGCTCATTCGGTGGTCCTATCTATTAATCAAATTCAACATTGCTTCATTCATCTTCCAGAAATTGGTCTGCTTATATTGTACAAGACCCATTTTAAGTCCCAAATTCTTTACGTCTTGCAAAACTGTACATAAAGTGTACTTCAAAATCAAATTAGATACACATCGCATTCTTCCATTCAGATCGCATGCGGCGTTAAGCTAGCAACATTTACGAGCACAAGAGTACCTTCGATTTCAATGCTTCCCTATTCAGTTACGACGTTACATTGTGTGCAGCTCATAAAAGGCTTGAGAAGATGAGCGCATCTAAGTAAATCGCACGTTTGACGACCTTATAGGTATCCAGCATCTTTGTCTACGTTTATGTAGTTAGAACCTGAAAGAATCTGCTTATAATCCCCCATGCTTGTCTGGCCAATAAAACCGCATGTATTGACAGATCTTCTTTACCGTAGTAAACCTTTCAATCACTAAGGTGATCCTCTCCAGTACAGTGACAATATTTGATTTATCTATCTTGCGGGAGACAGTCCGTTTGTTTTTTCTGTCAATAAAATTTCTATACAGTGTGTTACTACAATAGTCTAAGAGTGTTGTATCATACTGAGATTGCGCGGAGTCATCATTCCGAATTTTAAGATGGCACCACGAAAACCAGCATTGTCCAGAACCACCTCGAGTATGCATACCTGATCCCGGAAAAAAACGACAAACGACTATGAGGCTATCTATCGATTTTTTTATGTACCAGATAATCACCCTAGTCCATCGTGTAAACGCGAAAACCCCCCAAGCACTGTCGTCGCAACACATCGGTTAATGTTTATGCAATATTCAACTAAAATGTTGCAAATGCATTGTTTTGTATCTAAAATGCGAGAAATACTACATCAACATCTTAAGGGAGCCATGTTGTTTGTCATGTGAGAAACTACACAACAGTTTGTCCTGGGGGTGTCAAATCAGGGTTTGAAACGCAACAACGAACCAAGAGAAAAAAACCTGGATAAAAAGCTCATGGTCTATCAGTCAGGTTTCAGAATATCTACTTATGTCTTCTATATTCTGAAGGAGAATCATAGTTTCATCTAAAGCCTATAACTGGTTCGCTAGTGAACAAATGGTTCTAAAAAAACTATGCATCAGAGGAGGCTCTTCTCAGTTTTACTAACCTTAGGCAATTTAAAAATCGGATTAACAAAATTTCTTTGGGATCCTCATAACAGCCGCGATGGCCTGTCATTTAGACTTCTGCCTGCGCAGCTGCTTCAGTGTTAAAAAACAGAAGCACCGGGTCACACGTCGTGCCAGAACCCATCGTTACTTGATGGTACACCCAACTAGCAAAATGGTGCTATAAGTTTTCGGTAAAAGAACTGTTAAGCCGTAAAAGCCCCTTTTGTTGTTGCCCGAAGACCAAAACGCTGGCTTAATAATGTATGAAATGTAAATTTGCTCCCTGCAGCATATTTGCTCTAAATTGAGGTGTACAAAACATTTAAACTCAAATTCAAAATATTTATTTCGTCATGAATAAACGTCATAAACAAAGGAGATTATACAATAAAGAGCAATGACGAAAAAGGACAGTCTCTCGAGTATAAAACCGATACATTGGACCCATTCAATAGCCCTATATCACAATGTAGGCGGTTATCATGTAATTAATACTTGTGGATGAATGTAATGTGTTCGAAAATATTCTTCACTTTACCTACACAATAAATAAACAGTATTTTAGTCGCAATAAAGTGGCATGATGTAACAGAATGGTTGTATAGTTGACTAAGCTGAATCTTGCACTGACACAAAGGTTCTTTAGCATTCAAGACTAATAACACTTTCGTTGTATAACTGTTATACAACATCTTAAGTAAATGAAGTGTCCTATTAGGTGCACCCACTCTACTTGTATAGTTGTTCTAAGAACGTCTAGCCAATGCTCTTGCAACCTACAATGTCAATTCCAATTGACACGCCGAATGACGAGCTTTGATCAAACAGTTACGTGTTTTCCTTTGGAACTTGGTAAAATATCAGTTCTTCCGCCGCACCGTATTTCGCCGCACGGCAATCATGTATCACAATTTTCTACAGGAAATTCCTGATGTGAACCGCCAGCAATTTAGACAGGTATGTTTAGTAAGCAACAACTCGAGAAAAACGAAAAATGTGCGGCAACTAGCCTACAGCATCAGCTGTCAACCAACTTTCAGGGTCGGCTGCTAGATGCAAATTCAATCCTACCCACGCCACTGTTCCTTTGAACTGGTAAAGTATCTCCAGTCGCTTTCGGGTTGCACCACACCGCCTCTTGGGCACCTACCACGGTACCACCGTGCCACATTTTTTAGATGAATACATCCGCAACAGAAAGCAATTGGAAATACCAATCCGGTTTGTTTCACTTGAACGCCGCCAGATGGAGCATCAAGCACTTGAAAGGACAAAGGACCAGTCGCGTGTGTAGGATGTCATTTGCCTCTAACAGTCGATGCTGAAAGTTGGTTGAGAGCTGATGCTGGGGACTAATTGGTTAGGTCGACTCGACGGAATGGAGAACATGCGTATTCGATTTGTTTACTAAACATATCCGCTGTTACGGGATAATCTTATAGAGCAATTCTGACGTTGAACTATCATTCTGTCAAATAATCGATTTTCGGCTCTGATTCGTAGCTGACCATCAAAAGGTGATTCTAAAACATATTGGCCATCACCGCTTAATTAATTACTGACAGACAATATGATTTTTAAAAGCAGGACCCCTTTTCTTAAGAACCAGGGAGTGCTATCCTGAGATTGCGACCGAGTTCAACTTCCCTGGGGAGTCCCAAAATTTGACAGGTGTTGACATTTCTCAAACAATGTGCTCCTGGGTTCTTCGCATCACTAGATGTTCCATCAAAAAGTTAATTTCATTTTTAGACTGACTGGCAGCGACTATTCTAATGTATTCTAAATGATGGCATGGAATATTTGTAGACATATGTATATGTATCTATATTAATAGAATGCATAGCTACTACCTCCGGTTACTAAAAACACATCTCTTAGGAGCGGGAAAGCAAAAATGAAATGGAAGTAAGATCGAGTACATTTCGTCTACAGCCACATACGTATTTTAACTCAATACGCAAGCAATTTCAAACGTAAAAGACATCGGAATTTTACAAGCCGGAAAAGTGTGTCACAAGTAGGTATTTTCATTTCCATGTTCGGCTACGACTACCTCTTCCAATTTTCGTGTCTCCGTCGTCTTGCTACATATATACGTAGCAGCAGATCCGGTATTAGAGAAACAATTCTCGAAGATCCTCTGGTAAGCCGCGTTCGCGAACTCAACTGGTGAAATTGCAATGCCGCCGGTCGCAGAATTTTCCTCGAATAGAAAGGTGTACGTAAAATTAAGGAAACCGGAAACTGTGTCACAACTTAGGACTTCATTGTCTGTCCGAAAAAAAAGCACATACATGTTTAAATTCCCATTTATTCTACGACTTTGCGACCACCACTATGGCCTTTTTCCAGTGCAATGACTGTAATGTTTATATTGCTTTTCTGTCTTCCCGGTGACAGTCCATTTCTTTTTTCCTCTCTTCATTCCTATACAATATGTTGCGACAATAGATTGAACTCTCCTGTAGTAAGTTAAAAAATCTCTTTCGTTTATTCAAACCTACCTTGAAAATCGCTTTCAAAACGTTAATCTAAAGCAAAAATACCCTTTCGCACAAAAAATTTGCTCTGGTGTACCACAAGGTACCGCTATTATTTTCCTTATACATATATCGCAGATGCGGAAACAGACGGAGAATCATAAATCATACAATTTCTTGCCAACAGTACTCAGATTTTCTATTAATTTATGTGTAATGACTTGGAAACGGCGAATAACACTAATCACTATCTTGCCTAAATTGAAAAGTTTTGTAGTAGTAGTCATAATCTCCGTTTGAACCCTTTAAAGACAAATATAAGTATACGCAAATAAAACAGAAAGGAATGCTTCAAACAATGATAAACGATAATTGAAAAGGTAATAGAATGGTTCCTTTGGATCATTCTAAGAACCTAGTTACGAGTATTATAATAGATGATGACTTAAAATTTGTTGAACACGTTAACCATATAATTTCCCTAAATCTCCTAAAAAGCAATTGTGTGATTATTTTTTGTTTTCAAAAATATCGTATTATAACAAAAAATCGTATTACAAGTAAAATGGATACATGTTTCAGAGCTGTAAGTGATCACAGAAAATACGATCATATCATATATTATGATCTCAACTAGATCTAGAACTAGAAAATTAATAAAATATATAAATACCAGCTCCTAAGCCTGACTCTTAGGGTTCTTTATTTAGAAAGACCTTCATATTTAGTTACTTAGAGGAAATAGGCATTGCATTAATATTAGATATAGAGAGATTTTTTCAATTCAACATATATTTACGAGTTCGCGATCAAATGATATAATTCCTTAAGCTTTCGGGACCTCGGTTGGCCGCGTGGGTCAGAGTGTCGTGCTACTGATCAGCCGGCCGGCCGGGCCGCGAGTTCGAATCTCGCCTTCGCCATGGATGTTGTGTGTTTGTTTTAGGCAGCAGCGGTGGCCGCAGTAGTAGACTCTTGGATCTCCTGATCAGTCGCCGTGCGCTGTGCGGGTTCGAGTCCCGTCCCAGGAGAAATTTTTCTCTTGGCTATGGATGTTGTGATTGTCCGTAGGTGGTAGACGGTCTCTGACTGTCGAACGTGGAGGTACCACCCGGCGGATCTCGTAGGCGGAGCCAGAATGTGTGCATGTTACATGCACACGTGTTCCCTCGCCAGAGTCCGTGTGGCGCCCCCCCTTTTTCCCATGTATCCCCCTATAGCCCCACGGTACCCAATGGGTGCTTAGGCCTTAGGCCTTCGTGGTAGTTGGAGTATAAAAAAAAAAGCCGTAGTTTAAAAGAAACCACTTCATTACCGAATACAAGAAAAAAATAAAACAAATTCTACTTGATCAGCAGTGAAATCTGTTATAACCAATAAATGTTATCTGGCCATATATTTTCTTCATGCCTTTACTTTAATTATGCTTATTACTGGTTATTGTATACATGTATTATTCTTCAGTACATGCATACATTGTTAAGGGGGCCAGCTGGTAGGGTAGATACTGTAACTAAATCTCGCCTCCTGCAATATTACTACAAATAAAGAAGTTAGTTATTATTTTTATCATCTTAACAATTTTAAGATGGCACCGCGTCAAACCAGAAAAGCGCAGAATAGCTTGGGGTAGGCATGCCTGTTCCCTAAAGAAGTCCAGCCCCCCAAAGCAGCGAGTAAGCATAAGGTTATCTATCGTGTTTCATTCTAAAAGACAAGTTACCCCTGTCGATCGTCCAGAAAACGTCAGAAGTCCTCCGAGAACGAAAACTCACCCAGAACTGTTGTCGCAACATACCTGTTAATTGTTATTCAATCTTAGACAACAAATGCTCCAAGCTTATGGATCTGAAGTGCAAGAAATAGTATTACGATATCTAAAAGGAACCTTTTCGTATCTTCTGTGGGGAAAACATTTTATAACAAATTTGAGCATTTGAGATTCGCTAACAAAGTATAAGAAAAAGCTTATCTCCTATCAAGTCATAGAAGTATTGTTATCAGAACACATGTCACTCACATCCATCAGTTCGTCCATGGCGAAGAATACTACACAAAACATACGGGAAAGGGGGTATAGTGGAATTTGCGGTATCTGTGAGATGTGATCTTCTGATTAGAAGTCCTTGTGAGCACAAAGCTCGATACTGGATGGTTTTTCAGCTGTCTAATCTAAAGTCAAATTTAAGAAACATATTTATTTTCACGGTTTTTTGCGAGTACGTCACAATGGCATACGAACTAACAGATTCACTCGCTCCTGCACTTAATGCACACATTAATTTGGTGATACATCATTGTTTCCATTCACTTACTCAAAATACTTCAATAAAAAGACATACTATCAACACTGTGGTTGTATCTTGTATTTGGAACGACTACGCCACCTCTAGCCATATCTCACCAGTGTCCAGTAGAGGACGCAACCAGTATCATAGGCTTTCTCTTGCAATAATTTGAAGTAGTTGGAAAGAAACAGGGTTATTCGCATGGTAGTCAAGTAAATTGAATACTTACTCAACGTTTGTTAAATAATAAGCAATGCATAATTTTATTAACGTCTTCAAAGATTTTATTGAGAAGAAATCTGTACTGCAAGGACCAAAATACCAGTTTGACTGACCCAACGAGTCCGAATAGATAATAATACTTACTTACCACTGCAAACACCTGCGTTCATTAGGCTTGTGCCGCTCTTTGCGTAAGAAAAAGCATGTATTGAAATCGTCTAATTTTCAATTATCTGCGGACAATCGCGCTTTAAAGCACTAAAAATTCTAATATAATGACAAAATTATCAGAAAATTGACTTATGTCAGGTGCACTTTGATTCTCACTACAGAATATGTGAATTAGATGATAAACAAATCCTTGTCTGGTTCCTTCTACCTAGTCTGTATTCGCGCCCTAGACGCAAATTTTGTGCCCGAAATAAAATAGATGAATGGGCTCTAGTAGCTAAGCCAGGTAATTTATGAAGAATTTATTGGTTTATTATGAGAATTAGTGGGCCATCTTACACAAATCGTATGCTTTTTCTATAGCTTGAGAGATATTTTATAAGAAACCCTCCACATTCACTACATTTCCTACTTTGGTCGAATTTGCACCCTAGGCACAAATTTTGATTCCCGCAAGGCAGTAGTAAAATGGGATCCCCATGACGCGACACCAGGTTTGTTATGAAAGTCGATATAAAATTTGAAGACGACAACCGGTGACCAGGAAAAAGTAAGTGATGTTATATTCAATGCCAACGCATCCCCCCTTTTAACAGGTTGCTATTGTCGTATATAAAGTTGATATCAAATTTCATAACAAATCAGTTTCTCTTAAATAACTTTTGAACGGTAATGTTGCCAACTCAACGAAATTCCTACAACAGTTAAGATTTCATGACATGGCGTCAATGGGGAACAATTAACTCATTTAGGTTGCTTTGGAAAGGACTAGCCTTGACACATTGCTAATTTGTAGTCAAAAACAATATTTTTGAATAATTTGACTTTTAGCAGAAAAGATCTCCAACGAAATTGCTTTTGAATGGTATCAATAATATGAGCCGCTTTGTGAGACCATTTGTCAACCATGAGCCCTGCATAGTAAACTGACCTCAATCGCTTCAGAGCTAGATGCAGTGTGCACCGCACAGTTTCCCGCAATTACAAGAAACCAGTCGAGTTTTGCG